AGGTCATGGGGATAATGTAGTGTGAAACTACGGACCCCTGTTATTTTTATCTCTCATCATACGTTTTCTAATAAACAGCCTTACTTTTCCTGATTCCTGAAAGAGTTCCGGCTAATATTTACTAAAATATTAGTGCCTAGTTACTTAAATTTACTACTGTAAGCTATTTCTCACACTTTGTCAATATCACTCACATGTTTTCCTAAATTGATCATATACTTTAATTTAATTTTAAAACTGTTTTTTTTTTCGGTGCCTCCGTCCCTTATGAGCTCACCATAACCTTCCTTATTATTTTCCTTTACTTAAAAGTAAGCATGTGACGAACTCCTCTAAGCCAACTTGACAACACACTTCCTTCCTTTACTATTAGACTTACTTTATCCCTTCTCTACCATTATTCTTACATTATTCTTTTTCCATTATCCTTTCTTTTTACCATCATGCTTCAAAAAAATCCTGAACGATTTTTTTTTCTCCGGCCCCCCGGGTATTGTGACGGCGTGACCTCCTTACACCGTCGTCTCACCTTTTTGTATCGCCTCTCTCCGCTTGTATCCTATCATTTTTTTATTTCACTTGTATTTAAATTTTAAATTTGAATTGTTCCATCTTCCTTCGCTTTCTCATTTTGTTTTCGTACCACGGTCACTCCCTGCTCGACCGCCACAACAGTCGGAGCTGTTTCAAATTCCATTTACTAAAATCTTATTTTTGATTCTTTACCAAGTTATAATACAAATATATAATACAACGATCGGAGCAAAAGAATTATCAAAAATTTGCTGCAATAGTTTTTCGACCAAAAATGAAGCCATAAATCCGGATGTAATGTTGCCGCCATTGAAACCCTGGGTATTACACGAATATAAAGATAATTACATAAAATTTCATAATTTAAATTACACATAAGACCCTTTTTATCTACTGCCATGACAAGGGACTATTAAATAAAAAATAATATAATTCAAGCTAATATTACAAGTGTGAAAGTAACTCTGTCTGTTACGTATTCACGCATAAACCGCTGAACCAATTTCGATGACTTTTGGCATAGAGATAGATGGGACCTAGAAAAAGGACATAGGCTACGTTTTGTCACAAAAATTTTAAAGGCGGTGAAATAATTCGTATGGAGAACTAATAAAACTATGAAAACTGTATAGTAGAGTAAGCTATTCGCAGTACTTATTCTACGCAGACGAAGTCGCGGGCATTGTTGTAATTTGCGTTGCTCTGCTACTCATAGTGAAGGAAATTTCCTAGTTTGAGACCAGGTAATTGGTGTGGTAATCTGAAAAAAAATTAATTAGACAACATCACATACGTTGCTCTGATCACAAAGTGAGTAACTAAGGCACTTGTGTTATGGAAATCGGAAACATCGACGATACCACAAACACCCAGACCCGATACGATATAGAAAAATTAGTTTTTCTACACAGACCCGGCCGGGGATCGAACCCTTGACCTCAGAGATGGCGACGCCATGAAAATCAGTGCGCAAGCCACTCAACAACGTCGTCGTTGTATCGTTATTATCATCATATTGTTATTAATGAATAAAATGGTTACCAAATATTAATAAACTACGACAAATTATTATTTCCTTAATTGCATAAAAACATGAACTTATCAGAACTATAATTACATAGATAAAACGTTAAAAAAAACGGAGAACAATCTAAAGACGACATTGGAAAACTTGTCAATTGAATTTAAGTTGATTACAATACAACATCTAATTAATTGATGTGCTTATTATTATAACAATTAGAGCGTGAAAACAAATCATTTGTCACACGGCCAAAACATTACAGATTACTCGTAAGGGTATGAGATTGGACAAACACAAGCAGCAGCTTTGATAAGGCCAGATGTTCCATTTTGGCGAACGACTCGAGCATGCCGTCATTCTGTAATAACAATAACAAAAGCTATTAATAAGATATATATCGTCAACACTGGTTGCTACACGTGCCACTGCTCTTGTAGGTGTGTTATGCTCTTTTGTTTTCTTTAAAGCACGGTGTTTTAAACCTTGACTTTTATACTCGAATTAGGTAATTTTAAAATTTTGAAAATTAGTAGCAGGTGAAACAATTTAAAATAATTGCATATATTTCCAAGTATTTTTGTATAGTTCTATAAAGGCCAGTTCTTTTATATGTTAGGCATTAACAGACTCCTGGTGGGAATCCAGTCAGTTCGAAGAGATTTTTCTTTGAGTTTGTTCAATGTTTACATTATCTATAAAAAGTTTATTTTTATTTCATTTATACAGTTACAGACATCAAATACAACATAATACAAAAACATTCTAAAACAGCACTATAAAACTGACAGCCAATTACAATTACACAAAATGTTATAAAGAGCGAAAATATTTACAAAAAAACAACAAATATCAAAAACTATATCTAAAGGCGATTTAAAATAAAAAACAAATAATAATAATTCTTTATTGCACAAATAAATCACATTGAAAATTACAAGTTACAAAGGACATATACAAAGGTGAGCTTATCTCTACAAGAGATCTCTTCCGGCCAACCCTACCCGTGATGAATAAACTAACTAATAATGCTGATAAAAAGTATCTGAACAAGTAAGTAGGTCCATTTCCTACTACGCGCGAGGGAGTAATATTTTTTAATTGTTAGGTATGTGTCAGAATGGAGAACTTTTGTTATCTATCTATATCAAGCACTTTTGTGCCAATTACTGAAAAATCAGGTTTTAAAATTAATTTTTATTGACACCAATCGTTTTTTTTAAACCTATTTCATAACTTAAAAATTAAATAAATAATTTAATCAATTTATATTTCGATTTAATTTTTTAAGGTAAGGAAAATAAAATCTAGATCCTTAGGCACTTTTGATATGTGTATAATGTAATTTGTTTAGTGTCCTTTCTCTGGCGATGCCACTGCTAAAAAAAATCTTTTTTATTTTGACTACGACAATAAACATGTATGGGTATTAGGTCGGAAATAGAATTTTGTATCATCGGAACTACTTAAGCAGATGCCAAGCTATAGGGCTATTTCTGTTTTGTTGATAATGAGCCAAAATCCTATGAAACGTGATTTTTTCTGGGTGAAACACGTGGGCGCATGACGACATCGTTCAATAGATGCAAACAAGAAAGTGTACGTATAAAATTAACCTAATGCGTTTTGTACATATAAAATTTACCTAACATGTACCTTTTTATGGAATTCACCTCAATCAGCAGTCACTCGGTAAACGTGATGCTACAATAATCGTAAATATTTTGTCGGCCGTAGGGCGTAAGGTTTTGAGTTTTCAGTGTCTATGATTTCTTGCTAGCTCTGCAATTCAACACGGAAAATAACAGGCTTTTTGCGGTAGAAATAACGCACGCAGACTAGTATAGTATTAGTAGTATAGCACCTAGACTCGTAGCCCGCACTACCCTGTATCACTTGTGCCTTGGACACACACATAGACAACCACAAATTACACCTATACTCACCAGAGAAATAAATGTAGATCATACAAATATTTCTCCCGGCACCGGAATTGAACCCGGGATCTCTGCGTGGCTGTCCGGCATGGTAACCGTTCGGCCACGGAGACAGTAGATAGAGAGGTGCCACCTACCCTACTACATCGGGTTCTGCATAAGCAAGGAATTCTACTACTAATTTATGCCAACAATATAGCTTCTAAAGCTTTTAAAAAAATCAATAAACTTTTTATTTAAACTTTTAAAACAAACACTGTATCCAATGTTAACCTGACCTTGCTTATTGCAAAGTCTTGTTTATGAAAAGAGATAGTCGTAAATTACTATAATAACTCCTCACATCCGGCAATAAACTGAATATTGTGATGTTTGTAGTGATTTACTCGTATCTTATAGCGTCATCATGATATTAAAAAAAAACATCAAAACAATAATGATGTAACATCCCCAAAAGAAATTAAATTATGTTCTCTAGGAAGCTGGCTTGTTCAAGGCATTATTTGGAGCAACGTCACAATTTCAAATCTCGTAAACAAGTTAAGTAAGTTCTTAGGTGAAATTAGCAATAAAGAACTTTAAGAACACTGTGATTTTCGCCTTATACTTCCAGATCTATATTAACAATCACTTTCTAACAACCTGTTATTCACAAATTGCACATAAGAGTTTGGTTTGTAACTAAAAATTAATTATAATGAAAAAAAAACTAAACAAATATTACTCATAGTTGAGGAATCCGTAACAGTGAATCACCCGTGAACTTGGGCATCTCAGGTGCGATACGGTCCCTATTTCTGGACTATTGCAAGGCTACCTTTGACGACGCTTGGTAGAGCTATTGACGATGAGGGGAAGAGGTGCGAGGAGTGTAGGTTAACATTTTAAGCCTTAGTTCTTTTTTAAAGCAGATGTTCAGGTATTTTTTGCCGGTGGTGAAGCGAGGTCCAATGTGATTTGTGAAGCAGGAAATACTACAATGAGTTTTTTTCTATTACCTATGTTGTTGCAGTAAATTCATATTAGAATTTCAATTCGAAATGGGATATGGTATCTTATAAGTAACTTGATATGTAACATTTATGTTCTTGTAAGAAGTTGTACTACATATTTTCTAAGAAAGTCAAAGTTTCAAGTAGTAACTAGTACTTACAACTTAGAATTGAAGATGTTTGTTTAATGCTAATGAAAAGAATATGTGAATTACGAACGTCACACGTTATTTTCTAAATGTACTTTCTGACGAAAGATGTGTGCAAAACTAAAACTAAATCCGGTAGCGTAGGCATGTAAAACTGCAAAACATGAACAAGTTTTGGCGATTTTAAAGTGAACCGTCCTCGAAAAATTTGTTCGTTGCGTTTTGTCACATTTGAGTCTAAACAATTTGGTAGCGTGTTTGCGAGATATGTAAGGAAGTCAGAGATCGTGATAGAATAGTCAAGTAGCGAGAGTGTTTATTGAAAGCTCCGGGCACGTTTGGCAGTCGGGCGGGCGGGCAGCTGGGGTTTGGGCGGGGGAGGTTCGACCGAGCGACGGCCGCCCTACATCGCGCAGTGCGCGCCCGCCCCGGTCCGACACTCGACGTCGGCTCGTCAACGAAACAACACAACCACTATTATTATACGATCTATATTTTAATCGGTAAGACACCGAGTGTCACATACTAATGCTAATGTTGTAAGGGCTGTGCCAAAAGTGTCTGCATGGGTCGATCGTGCGCGCTCCGAGCACCTCGCGGGTGGTAGCGTCGTCTCTGTCTAAAGTTGCGCAACTGTATCGCTGTCTCACTCGCCACAGTTTCTAGTCAAGTCACAAGTCTAGTTTGCATTTTCGTGCGTGATTAGTCGAGATAAGCCAACCGTTTACTGGTCAGTTGAGGCCTGCAGCACGTAAGTCTGAAAACTCAAAAAGTGATTCGTTGCAAGAAATATAGTGCAGAACAAGTGAGATAAGATTTATGTAAATGTCGTAGGATTCCATTTCACATGTAATTGTCGTATCACAAATTTAAAAAATAACATAATTATATTTAATTTATATGTTTACACATTGTGATTGTTGTTTACTATAGATACAGTGTACCTATTACATTCGTCCCAAAGTTGTCGTTTTGAACAGCTACCGTGGTATAAAATTATAGTTGTTATTCTTGTCAATTTTTTGTATGAAATTATTAAATTGTGAAGTTAATAAGTAACATCTGATTTTTCAAACGTACAGTTTAAAAAAGTTTCAATTTGTATGCCACAACGATGAACTGATCGGAGTATTCTAATCTATCGAACTAAATTGTTTTGAATGAAGTCGATTCTCATTGTAGCCGTCTAACTTGTTTATCTATGATGCTAAAGAATACTTTTAAATCCGTTTCACGTATCAGATCCACCTGTGTATGACGAAGTCGAGATCCGGGAATGCCGTGAATCTGATCCGGCGCGCGCGTCTATTTCGAGCACCTCTCATCGCGCGCCAAATTTGCGATCCCGCCAAATCGACGCGCCTCTTGAGTATTTTTGTTCACGTTTCACAATCAAGTAATTTTTAATCACTGTGCTATCATATTTGTTCCGTGGTCTTTCGTTCCATGGTAATATCATATTTTTTAAATTGTATTTCCAGCTTGCGGTTCACGAATCATAGTTATAGCTAAATTGACAAACTAATTATTTACCCGTAAATTACAATTATGTGTAAAATTTTACCACTTCTTGGAATATGGACACCACCGGCAGACAAATTGAAAATTAAAAATAGATTTTCGCACATTTGTTAAAAAGTAGGTCATCAAGATAGTTTGTAATGGGGATTAGGCATAACACTTTTGACATTGGCCTTCGTTCTTGACCGTAAAAAGGATTAATCTAAGTCTATAAGTAAATAAAATTCCCGTGCACCATTAACATCTTTTCAAAAGAAGCTTTTGATCGTTAACGGAGAAGGTTGATTTACAATTATTATTATTACAATATTTGTAAGCAATCAGTTTTCAAATTCAACGAAAGTGATAGGTACCGACTAACGTAGTTCGTTTTAGTATTCCTATTTCACAGTACACTCAAATTTAAATATATTAAAATGTTACGAGAACGCCAAATTGCGTTTCACTTTTCTGTTAATTGAGGCGGTAACTAAGTACTTTGAAATCCTTGGCAGGTGTATCTAATAGATGCATGAATACTTTTTAAGTCTTATGAAAGTATTTTCGTTAATTTCTGTTAGAATTGCCTAAGTTAATAGATGATGATATTTAATTTCTTTTTGTGAAATTACTCCTCTAATTTGTTATTAATAATACAAAAATTGAACACAAAGATGACAGGACAAAAAAGATTTCTTAGTCTAGGACCTAGTCTTTGTATTAATAAATATAAAAGAAAACTTTTACTAAATAATAAAATAAAATTCAAATTTGTGCATTTACAATAGATGTTCTGAAATAATAAAACTTAAACTCGAAAGACTGTCCTACGTATTATATGTAACGGCGCGACTGATTGAATTGAAGAGGTGCATTCCAGATGTACGGCTGAAGTGGCTCCTATCTGCCTAAACGTCGATCTTAACTTGAAAAGCAGATGAATGGCGTTCTGCTCCGAAATACATCATGACGCAAATCACGTATAATCCACAATTTGTGTACATAGGGTTACTAGTCTGCGTCATTCCCGAGTAGGTAACAGAACGTAGGCGGTATCGATACTTTTCAAAACGATCGGTGTGTTTGTTTTACGTTTAGAGCAGTAAATAGTCGAAGAACGAACACGCCCCCTAAACTCCAAGTATTAAGAGTGTATTCTGAAACGTGAACAGCAAGAATTAGCTAAATATAACATAGGTAACCTCTGCGCTTTCGAATATCTGCGAAAGCAGATATTCGATTTCTCCGAAAGGATAAATGCAGAGTCTATTACATTTGACATAACGATGTAAATAAATCAATACGGAGACTACTTGCTTATAAATGTTAGTGTTATTAAATTAGTATACCTTACCTTTTTCCAGTAAACATTCTATTTAAAAAAAAGCTAAGCAAAACTGTTGAAATTTTATAAACATAAGCCATAAAAGCGATCGGTATTATGAAAAACAAATCACACCTGCGCAAAGTTAATATTAATAATTATGAACGCTTGAACGATGAACGTTTTTTGAGGTTCGTTCAGTGAAGCTCCTGAAATACTTCGAAAGTGAGTCGTAACGCCCATTAGTTTGTCATCGCTTCAGACTAGAGTTTACGTAATTACAAATTGCGGCAGGCCGCTGACTTATCACGAAACTCACACAAGGTCGCGAGAAGCTCGAAAATAGTTGGGCATTGAGCAGACATTCGTAAAAACAGCCGTTTTCAAGTTTCTCTTCGGTAGCGGCAGATTGGCTCTCGCCCAAGACCACAGACCATTCGACACGGCACCCAGCCCTGCGGTTATTTGTGGCCTGCTGCTAACGCACCGTACCGCGCGTCATTGCTCTATTTACGAGATCCGGTCATACCGTTGTATATTATTATGTCACCCGTTCATTGTTTTACAGCTAAATACTAGACTAAATAAAGATCCTGATAATCTCAGAAACACTATTGGCTCTAGTTCTATTCTACTTCCGTTTCGCCTTAAACAAATATTTGCACCCTGTTCTGTTGCAGAAACGAGCACGACATAAACTGCCAAAATGTTTAAAAATCATTTAGAAATGATTGGCAGAAATGAGACGCCATCGAAGAAAGCCAGATTTTGGCAATCCTTTGTGCGATCTCTAAAAGGTAAGCATTTTACAACTTGCCTTAAGTTCACGTAATCCACCAGGACATGGGACTTTTTCATATCGGTTCCCTGTTAAAAACTTATTCTCTACTATATTTGAACAGAAATGAACAAAAACAGCAGTTACAGGAACTACCTTTGAATTCCTTTTATCTTTAAATTCTACATCACTCCACCAACTATTTACCCTAGAACACAAGGAAGTGCTGAACAACATATTTTCTGTTCAGGATCGGAAGATATCAGGGCAGACGAGAGGTACAGGCCCACCCGTCGCAGCGTGTTCCCGGAGCTGTCGTCCACATACCCGTACACCAAGTCGATCTTTGACGACCCTATTCACGCAGCGGAGAGGATCACAGTCCCAGGCTACCGTTACTTGCCAGTGCACCGCGAAGTATACGGCTACTCCCCACGCCCCATCTACGCCCACAACTACCCCTCGTCTCTGGATCGGTACAGGCCAAGTATGTATAACAGTCTCATTTTATATTATAATCCACATTTAGGAAAATATAAAAAAAAGTATCGTATTGTACTATTGAAATAGGAACGTCAGTTTTCCTGTTGTTATCGGACAAGTGAATTCAATTGCATTTCTCGTGATTCGTTCCATACTACGTGAAAAACATTTTCTTTCACTTCTGACTCATAAATGTAACCCAAAATATTCCTACCCTACTTCATAATGTTCATTTGAAAGAAAATGTAAATTTGCCATAGGTCGATGAAGTCGTGGTGATACTTGATTGTTAATCGAAACAAGACCATAAAATTAACAATTCTCAAGTATTATTTAGCAATTGACAAACATCTCTGCAACATTAGAATAGAATTATTTATTTTTTTGCAAAAAATACACGTATTTAACCACGTAGGTAATTAAAATATGGTTAAATTAAAATGTTTATGTATTGTGGCATCTTTATTGTACAGTAAGCTTGATTGTTAATTTTCGTCATTCGCTTATGCTAATGTTACTCTTATATGCTAACTAAATTTTCAGCATACACTTACTGACATTTTGTGTTACTGTGCAAAATTATTGGCATTATTTTCTTTTAATTGTTTCAGCGTCAAAAAAGGTGTAGACCTACGGAGCCGTTTAAATTAAATTGTATTATTATGAACAACTTAATCAATTTTTACTATAATGAAATAACAAAATATTGACATTTTTATACAAAATAATAGTGTTATTTAATGGTTATTGATTTATCGCCAGCTATCACTATTCATGATATTCACGCATGGAATAGCGTGCAAAGATTATCTATTCTAAGTTTAGCTTATGAAATTACGAGCTGTTCTGCTATGTATATTTTACTTGTACTTAATTTTTTTTATAAATAAATTATAGAAATTTGCTTTTCTGTGGATCCTGTCAGAAGCTCGAAGAATTTTACGAATCGATTTAACATTACATGGAGCCACACACACTTACAGACATTTTACACAAGTAACGTTCTTGTGTTTGGTTATGGAAACCTTTAATGTTTTCTTGAAGAACAAAAATTTATTATAACAATTTATTATAAAAAATATAATAATTATTATAAAAATTTAAAACAATTTATTATATTTTAAGTGCTTTTTAGGTACATCATTTATCGGACAATAGATTCAAAATTACACAATATGAATGGAGAACATAAATTAATTTAGTTGCTATCGATGTCTTGGCTTGATATTTACCGTTGGCTGTCATTAGCTAGATTTTGCTTGCAAGTTACGTCTCATGTATTATAAATACTCATTATCTAATGTTGCATGCCATATATCATTTGATAGAAGTCACCTCTTATACCACATAACTTCACTCTACACTTGTATATCCATGGATGTTACGTCGTATTCTTTTGTAAATTTTCACAATCTTCAAGAATTTGTCAGGTGAAGCATTTTTCATTCATAACTTAATTCTATCTCCTATAATGTTTATTTAATAAATGTACTGTAACATTAACGAACCCACTTGTATCTTATTGCCATGTCAGCCCTGGAATATATAGAGGGAGGTAAGTTCTATGAAAACTACTTACTTGTTTCCCCATCATGCTATTTAAAGCTTACGCTCCGCAACGTCACTAACAATGTCATTTCGACAACATATATACTTTAGAATAGCTATTTTACGCTATACTTATTTATAATATCCCTGTTTGTGGTGTTTTAAAATAAATCCATATTATAAATGGTTCGGCGACAATTTTCTCTAAAATCGTAACTTTTACACACCCTATTAAACTATACACAAACTCCTATTCAAACCCTGCTCTAAGGATACAATGGCGGAATACAAATAACTTTTATTTTCTATTCTATCAGCTATGAGGTCTTGTCTTGTGAGAAGTTGTGTGGTCCTTCCAGAACTCTTTTGAAGTTAAGTCTGAGCCGAAATAGTACAAATATTTCATAGAATAGTTTTTAATGGTAAATATAAAAAATCCAGTAAAGAACAACGTTCAGACTTTACTTTGTCAAGCGATACATGGTACAAATTGAGTATTTAGTGTTGTATTTTGACCAACAGTCTACCATGTGCCAAGGCGCCTTCGACGAGGCGTCGATCCATTCGACGCGCATAAGGCGTGGCAAGACCATCTCGACAGGCTAGCTGCTATTGACAGGCTGTATCCATCACGTTATGGCTTGTACCTGAAAGACCGCGCGTACCCCATCACCGACTTAAGCACACCCGCCGCTCCTCTCGCTCACCTCGCCCCTCTCTCTTCTTTCGAGCCTAGGAGCCTTAAAGGCATCGAATATGAGCCCGACAACAAGCCTCACTGGGGAACAGGTAAATTTTATTGAGCATTTCATGCACGAAACCATCCACCAACGCCCGAACATGAGCAGGTCTCCTATTTCTTAGTCAATTAAATACCTGAGAAGACCAAGATAAATATTGTCGAGTTCTTAGGTTTTTTGCGATATATTGTCTTTTAAAAGATACTTGCTCATGGGCGGCTTTAGGCTAAGCTAGTTTAAGTTACTTTGGTTGATCTATTCGTATTTTACGGCAACATGGTTGAAGATCTTCTTTGGTGTCTCAAGAAGGTCGATTGTCTTTGTAATTTGCAAATCGGCAAACCATGGGTCGACTTTGGTCCACGTCGCCAACTTTTGGATATTTTTAGAAACAATGCTATCTTGATTGTCGTTGGAAATTACCAAAACAGTAACAACGTGGAATCCGTAATGCAAAAGTATATGAGGACACATTTACCTATTAAATTCAATCATAGTTGAATTTGATCAGTGTGAATATCCTCAAGTATAATTAATATTGTAGAAAATAATGCTTTCCTTGTAAAGACAAGTTCCAAAATTCAAAATTTATACCTTATGTCAATGTAAATATCTACATCCATTTGGCTCCATGTACTTTAAAGTTATTGTTAAATTCAGACACAATACATTAGAATTAAGTTATTTAAACCTTAATATTATTTATCCAATAGTACAAAATTTAAGTACATACCCACATACATAAAACTAACAACATTTTTATATTAAATTATAAAAGACCAATCCGTGTTTTGATTTAGTAGTTTAGTACCTCTCGTACTTTTGTAATATAAGTTTTTGTCAAAATTATTTTAAAATATTTTAAAATGTGAATATTTCGACATAGTAACTTCATGACGGAATATTCACTTTTCGCGACTGTTAACGGGCCAACATGCATGACATTTGTACATAATGCAAGGCACTTTCGTGATTGCAATTTCTAATATCAACCGAGCGCATTCGTTGAGAACACTACACTCTACAAAACTACTTGAATAGGCGTTTCTACTTTGGTAGAAATGATTTAGAATATCTATATTCCGAAGCACCTCGTTAGCGTGCTACCTAAGAATGGTATTGACTATAAGACTTGCGTGAAGCAGCGTGGCCGCAGAAGATATCGGACGCGATGAAAAAGGATCCCTTTTTCGCTGAAGCCGAAAAATGGGCTGACTTTGATCGGTCGCTCCGAGGGATGTCCCCAACGCCTGTGAAGCCAAGAATAAGTCCTCCGCGCGACTGCGAGGTCGCTTATGATGCCGACGGTAAGGGCAACAGACCCCAATGCTATCTGTACCTTCGTCACAACCCTCAATGGTGTAACCAATCAAACTGATGGCCAATGATAAGAGTATGAAGCGACTCTTCCGAATGAAGTCCTTTGTTCAGTATGGTACCATTTGTAAACTATTGTCACTTGGATTATCAGAAAAAACATGTCCAAGCTAATACTGTAGTTAGTGCAACTTATCCATTAAACTTGTTCTTTCATATTGACTTTAGTACACACTTTTCCATAATGCGTTTGGTGTGAATGAGAATTCGGAACTTCTTGATTCGCAAAACATTATTCTATAAATCTATTACATTAGAATCTATAATTTACGAGTGTACGTGTTCTTCTCCACAAAATATCGTATTCTCATAACAACGCATGAGGAATGTATGCTACATTAACTTAATAATTATAAGAATTTTTGAATCGTCGATTTGAAATCATTGGAACGATCTTCTTCACGTTGAATTTTAATAAAGTCGTTAATGCCATTTCAGTACCCATGGTGTGATAGCGCATCTTCAAATGTAATTCAAATTTCTTTCAACGAGTGGGAAATAATATGTCTTTGTGGGGTTTATAAAGAATTGAACATGTGGATTGTATTCGTATGGTGATCGTAATCATAATCATTGTTGTTTACCTTGTAACATTGGCTGTACTGAACGCTTAAGGCTTCATTAATGGACGAAGATGAAGTACAGAGAAGTCTGTTGTCCTACTAATGGTTGTGGCATGTAGGTCTGCCGCTGTACAACGCCGCTGGCCGTCCGTGGCGCAGACCGTGGGCTGACATTTTCAACCCAAGCTCCTCTCTACCAATTTCGGCGATCACACGGGACCCCTTCTGGTACGACTGGCCTGAGCTGAAGCCCCTCGCTCGATGGGACCGAAGCCCCTCCTACATCCGTGATTCGTACCTGTCGCCCGTGAAACGCACCTTCCTCTGGGACAAGCATCCGCTCAGGCCCTTAGGTTAGTGGGTCGCTGTAAATATGCAAAATCCGCACTTAGCACTTTGCTTTATTTGGTGACCGATCAGTGTCGTAACTATAATTATTTGGAGTGTCGTCTGATTTATTTTAAAACGCAACTTTCGACGGTTGTAGACTCCACTCCTACGACTAAGAAGTGTCACAGACGTATGTTTCGGCGATGACTGAATAACATTTGTAAAAGTTACAAGGGCTCTACTGTACATACACCGTTGGACCAAGATATATTTAGGAGATAACGTGTTGCATCAAGGAAAACGGGCGATATTAGGCGTACTTGTATTTAGTTACGGCACTGAGTAAGCTGTACAAATTAGCCTGGCATCTTCTAACCGGCACCAAATCTGTCGGCACCAACTTTCACTTGCAACTTAATACTGCTGTATGGATGATAAGAAATACCTACTAAACAACGCAATGAATCATCATTTAATATTGATATCGTCTAAATGTTATGTCTCTGCGGCAGATTTAATGATAGCGGACGCCTTCACCGTGGATGATCTAAGCAAGACATTACCGTTCATGCGTAGTCTATAAAACGCAATTTATCAGGTATCTGAAAACGACTATGCAAGGAATTGGATTGAACCCCTATCTCTTATATCTATTACGTATAACTTATTTTGTAGAATGTAGTTAATTATCATTGTAAACGTCAATCACTGTTTTCAACAACCTTAGATATTACACTTGCACGTAAAATTTTAGTATGTAATAGCATTTCGTGAAACCTACTTGTCAGCCGAGAAATCCTAGTGTTACAGGCACATCAAAATCATTCGTATAAGTAGTGATAAAGTCAAGTCAAAGAGAAGTAAATCATATTCGTGATTGTAGCTAATAATCATCAAAATCAGATTTGTCTTGTTTTAATATTTAATATGCTCACCTATTTATTTAAATAATTAAATCATGGTAAAATCATTTTGGAAGTCGCCACTGTTTGAAGATAACAACTGTAAAACAGCAATTATTATGCTCAATTATACAACGACAAGTATTGTACCTACTTGACAGTGGTTTCGGAAAAGCGGTGGTGGTTTTCTACAGACACTTTTTTTGTCTAAATCACGTGTTATATACGACTCATGTAAAGCATGACATAATGTTTATAAATATCTAGTAATAAATGTACCTACCCATCTATACTTATATACCGCTGCTTTTCAAGAATGGTGGTCCAATCGAAAATTGTGAATAGGATTTCGAGATTTTCATTGGGATGATCTACGATTTATCAACTTTCACGGCAGACACGTCTCAGTGTTTTGTAAAGCCTTGTTCGTGATAATATAGATGCTTTTGAGATTGGTCACTATTCTAGAAGGCATCGAAATAGATTTATTTTATACTTATTGTCTTAAAAAAGAAATGGGATTTTTTTTTGTGAAAATCCAGAAATATTATTTCACTTGTATTTCATAAATTGAATTAATTTCATAAACTTACACGCGTCGAACTAACTACGACATCCACTGTTTTATGTCTGCGTTCGATTTGTAGACTTACTGAATTTTTTTTTTACAGCTGCAGCTTTCTAAGGGCGAGCATCGATTGCACGTATTTTAAGTTATTATGTACAACTTTATACTTAATTTATTACAAAAATGTTACATCTAAGACTATGTTACTAAAATTTCGGTAAAATTTTAGTCAAAACGATCGACGTTGGAGTTTATTGTCAAGATCTCAAAGACTGCAAATAACATAGTCACTGCCGATAACGTCATTTGTTATAATTATATAAAACTTTTGTTTTTATTTATTACATAATATTTTTATGTATACCAAAAAACAAAAAAAATCAATAAAATCTAGAAAAACGCAGTTTTTTTAATGTACTTCCTAATTAGTTATTTTGTATAAATAGAATGACCCTTAAATTTTGTCGCATACTTTTTTTATGTATGTACTCTTACCTTATGATCTTTGCTACTATTATGTATTATATCCTTATATAACTCAGTCGATCGACATGAATTAAAATACACACTTTTATAATTAGTAAGTACATACTTTTAACCTGTTGGTTACCCAGGTTTATAATAGCCTAATAACCAAGTATATCACAAATACAGACTAATCTAGGAGACCATTGTTGTTACCGTTATTCTGAATACTTCAAAAATTTGGCACAAGGATGCTGACAGAGGAGAGACACTGAGAGCTGCCGAGAGCAGCAGACGACCACAGCTGAGAGACGTAACAATCGCGTGACCAAAACGGTAAAGAGCAAGTAGCTTACAGAGCTAAGAGCTCACATTTATCAAACATATTTATTTCATGCAATTACAATAACTTTCCAAGGCACTGTAATATCCATAAATAGGTATGACATTCAATAGCACGTAATCTCAATCATTCACAACCCAACGCCAGCCATCATCTATACAAAAAACATTACAGTACCTATTATGCCATGAGAATTGTGTTAAAACATTGAATAAGGGGCGGTTTACTGTAAGACACAGTGTATACCGTCGGCACTTCCAGCATAACTAAATACAAACCTTGCAGCGCAGCTACCTACGCGACGACTCGCGTAGCAGCAGAGCTACTTATGAAAGAGTTCAACCAGGGAAGTACTGCTTTTCTTTACCTTACCTGTTTCTGTCGCCAAGTGGTAACGTGAGCATTACTGCGTTAGTTTATAAAGGTAAGGCTGCTGGTGAAATTACAGGCATGGGACACATGGGATTTGTCAACTCATGGCAGTGCCCCTAAGATCTTTGTGACTTAAAGCTCTGAGTGGCACTGCAGCTGTCATGGATAGGCGCGTCGCTTACCACCAGGCGCACGACTTGTTCGTCCTGTCACTTAATATTATAAAAAAAAATCGCGCGGCTTGTATGCATGAACACAGCTGCGTAATCTCGCGGTGCGCTCACGTTGCACAGTGCGGATGGTCGCATGCGCCAATCATTATAGGATTGAAGAGTCCACTCGTTGTTTAAAAAATGACAACGAATAGTAGACGTATCGGGTTCTTAGGTTTTCGCGATTGTTAGGTTAGTAGTAGTTACATAGGAAATGAAGCTGTTTTTCCGGACTTAAATCGCGTTTATTTGCTTTTTCAAACAAACCAACGATTCGGACTTTTTACACGTCTCATGGTTGCGGTTGGCTAAGGCGGTAAAGTCGTCAACCACTTACGTCTAATTTTATTGCAAATCGCCCTATTTTTTTCCACTATAGTTACAAAAGTTATTAATTAAATACCTTATTCTTAATTTTATAAAGAACATTCTGCTTTACGCTACACATGTTTTACAAGTTATTTAATTTGAACAATATGAATTTCTATTAAATTAATTATTAATTAATAATGGAAATTAGAATAAATTAGAACAATTAATTAGTGCTGCAGTCTTATGTCTGTTTGGGATTTTTTATTTTTTAATTATGCGTCTGATGGTAAAACTATACGCCTGTCCATAACAGTTGCAGTGCCACTCAGAGCTTTAAATCGCAAAGATCTGAGGGGCACCGCCCCTGCGCCCGCCCTGAGACATAAGTTGGTAAGTCTCATGTGCCTCTAATTTCACCAGTACCCTTAGGTATCCTTCAAAACCGGAACACAGTAATACTGATATTACTGCTTGGCGGCAGAAGTAGGTAAGGTGGCAATATTACCCTGGACGAACTCTTTCATAAGGAGCTGTACTGCTACTAGCTACTAATAATGGATCCCAAACTGGTGGTACGGAGAGGTACTTTCCTGTTGAAAATAAATAAATAAGTAAATTAAATGTTTTTTCATTTCAATGGCCTCTCGCAGCGTCCTGGGCAGGCAACGGACTTCTTTTGCAAGGACCTGGGGTTTGTCAAACTTGATTTAATGGGTAGGTTTATCCGTGACATGCTCGCAGACTGCAGACTTGTTGACGCGACGATGTTTGAGATTAGCTATATGTTGTTTGACGCGGGTACAAATACTGCGCTTCGTTTGTCCAGTATAAGACAGACTGCACTCGCAGTCAAGCTCGCTATCTACGGGCTACGCCCACCCTTAACGTAGAGCTCTTGTAGTAATGTAATGCGAGATTTAAACCCATTGTTGTATTGAATCTGTACAGTAATAAGCGATTTTTAGTACAACTGAATGGTTCTACAACAACGGCTTGCAAGCCGTTCTTGTAGAACCATTGTCAGTAAGTAGGCTTCCACGAGTTTTAAGCTGTTTTGCTGCAATATATAATACGCAGTATACACATCTTTGATGTTGAGTTTTGATGACTTCGTATTATTTTTAAAGCTTAGAATAATAACGCATAGAATGATAGTTTCATATCAAACGAACTGTCACAAGTGAGGCAAAAACCAAATTCATGTAGGCGTAAGCAACTTGTAACTACGCTCGTCGGCACGCACACAAATATACAAATAATGATGCCATGGAATAACATTTCCCTCAAAAGTGGGGAAATTGTATCTTGCTTAACTCATCATTAAGTTAAAGGTGCCTACAGATTTGCCCGACATTGTCGATCAGGTGCCTACAGATATGCTCGGTTTTGTCGATGAAAAACGAATATAGCACTTATTTGTAAATCCAAGATGGCGGACACGATTTTTCAAAATATGCTATATGGGTATCCTTTTCGAGGTATTTGGGGATGCTCATTACGAATATGGCACTCATTTCTAAATCCAAGATGGCGGACACGAGTTTTGAAATAAATGCAATATGAGTATCATTTTCGAGGTACTTGGGGGTGCTCATGACGAATATGGCACTCATTTTTACATCCAAGATGGCGGGCACGATTTTTCAAAAAAATGCAATATGGGTATCATTTTCGAGGTACTTGGGGGTGCTCATTACGAATATGGCACTCATTTGTAAATACAAGATGGCGGGCACGATTTTTTCAAAAAAAATGCTATGTGGGTATCATTTTCGAGGTATTTGGGGATGCTCAATGTGAATATGGCACTATTTGTAAATCCAAGATGGCGGGCACGATTTTTCAAATAATGGCAAGTTGGGTATCGTTTTCGAGGTATTTGGGGGTGCTCATTACGAATATTGCTTTTGTTTGAACTGTCGTGTTTGCCATCTTGGATTTAGAAATGAGTCCCATATTTGTATTGAACATTCCCAAACATCTCGAAAACGATACCCAACTTGCCATTATTCGAAAAATCGCGCCCGCCATCTTGGATTTAGAAATAAGTGCCATATTCGAAACCTAAAACCGAAAATGCCATAAGCAAACATTAAAGAAAATAACTGTTAAAATAGATTAAAAAATCGCTTAAGAATGCTCCCCTTTTAAGAAAATAAAATATTTTAATATAAAATATTTCGCTTGAGTTACGAAAAGAAAGACATATAATAAGCTATCAAAGTTGTACTGGTGGTGCCAACACTATAGTAGAAACAAATATATACTGTAAATTTGTTGCAATATGTGCTCCAATTCAAATAAAATTAATATAAATAATTATTCAATAAAGCATGAACGCAGAGCCGTTAAAAGTATTATAAAATAATTAAGTGTCCCAATCACTTACAGGAGTTAACGAAAACATTTAATGTTTATTCGAGCAAATATTAGTTCAAAATGCGCAAATAAATCGAAATTACAGGCACCACTAAAATTTACGTAATATAATTATTTTGATACAGAATAGCAAAATGGGGAGAAAAAAAATTCGTTACTTTGCAACACTTTCGTATCTTGTTGCCGCGAAATTATTTTTCTGTTTTAGTGAATATTTACATAAAAATATGAGTTGAAACGCATTACTTACTTGTGGAATGCGATGTTAGTGTCTATTTTGTTTGTCTGTTGTATTTTCACACCCATTTACCGCACATTTCGTCATTTTTAGCAAAAAATTTTGGAGCTGTTCGCGGTGCAATATGACCTTGAGCACTAACAGCCCGCGCGCTCCTGGGACGCGTTTGGAACCCTCTAACTTGCCTCACTTAGCGTGTGCGGGCTAGGTTTCTATGCGTTATTATTCTAAGTTTTAAAGTTAAATTGTCAATAAACAAAAAATATATGGCGCTGCGTTTCTTAAAGTTTATCTACTAACCAATAGATAGATAGATAGATAGGCAGATTAATTATAATATTTATTAAATAATTTTATTATCAAACAAACAGAAACAAAACATTTACAATAACTTCACAAAGTATAACATAAAAGCACATGAAGTCTAAGCAATAGATACCCAGAACGCACAATTAAGTTTTTTTTTTGACACACTAAACAATAAGGTTGGTTTTTTCATAGATGTTGTCTACATGTTTTTCGCTATCGTTTACTGAAAAAACTACTAAAATTTTTTATGTATTTGAATTGGCAATGCCGTTTCGTGTGAGATTTTTTTTTAATAAAGACTTTTGACTTGTATACAAGACCTTTCAGCCCCAGGCAATTTCATTTAGTTTTCGTGATTCTCATTAAATATTTTCTTTTGTACTTAAAATGTACACGCCAGCACATCAAGCTACACATTGACGTATCTTGTCTTGTTCCGTTGCACTGGAGGCGATTTTCGAACAAAAATGTCTGTCTGTCTGTGTGCCATTGTCCATAATATGTTGTAGAATGGGAAAAAGAACATGGGTTTTTTAAATAATCTTTTAAGCGGCGGGCAGGGAGTCATTATTCAGTGACACTCAAAACATACTATTACAAGAATTAGTTTGTGAAAAAACTATAACTGTAAAACCCCGCCATGTTTTTAAAATAGAAATGCCATTACTTTCTCGGTCAAAAAGCAGCAAATGGAACGCGCCCTACTAGTGTTAAGTCGTGGAAAAATTCCCATTTTGAAATAAAATATTTTTTTTTCAGAAACGTAAATACTTTTCCGGACATACATTTGACGGTGACACCTGTTAAAAATTGAAGTCACAGAATGAATCAAGCCAAATGTTATCCAATCATTTCAAAACTTTTTTTTCTTTAACTTTCTTCTAGCTATACAATTTTATCTATAAAACTTCAAAATAATATATATTTCTCAACGAAGAACATACCATGAGCCTTCGAATTGTACCTTTCCACATTATTTTTAAATTTTTCCAATTTCGGAGAAATTTTTCAGGAAAACTTTCCATTATTTGAAATTTTTCGGAAAATTATCCCAACAATACGCCTAATCATATTTTGCAGAAAAATGTATATTTTTCGTTTATTTTCATCAAGTGCGACGTTGACACCTGTCAAAAATTGAAAAACGATGGAGCCAACAACAAGTGACGGTGGTGTGGTTGTTGGAAGGTTTTTTCGCGGTTGTGAAGTCATTTTTATATCTCGTTTTTATTTGTGGCTTTTAGCTATTTAAGTTGATTTTGTAATTCACACTAAATTAAAATTCAAAAGATATTTCTAAACGTACAACGAAATTATGAGCTGACATTTATGTTTAAAAAACTTATTTTTTCCATCTGAGTCATTGACTTACAAATAAATGGACGACGGGTCTAATACAAAAACCACGAAAAAAATGTCCCAAGTCAACCTATTCGAAATTTAAATTGTTATGTCATCGCAGTATCGCGCTGTCCGTAGAACAAATGAAGACTAAAGCGGAGTGTCGCGCTCTGTATACGATTTTAGCGCCTTACAAGTGCGGACACTTTTTAGCGCGGACCCGACGTCCATATAATTGTAAGTCAATGATCTGAGTATAAAACGTGTAAATGATTAGTTTCGTTTGTGTCCTTACTGCCAAAACCGATAAATTAAAAAAAAAAAACTACAGACGAACTGGAACACGCAAAGAACGTTGAATTTTGAAATAATCTTATCTTATTACACTTGGAAAATTTTCCAAATTATTTGGTTTATTTCCGTACCGTAGTTTGTGTTGTGACAATGGGAGAACAGGAAGATCAAATAGACGATATGAGTAATTCTGAGATGATGTTCGACAATCTCACAATCTTGAAGGAATTTAGCAACATCGTCGATCTCGTGAGGTAGATTTTCTAAAATTTGTTTGTTCGGTAATTTCTGAAATTCATGTACAGTAAATGGATGAATTCTTGATATTTACCTTCAGAAACGAAGATTTTCTCGAAATGGTTCCAAAGGCAAAGTTAAAACGAGTAAAATGGATGCCAATGTTCAACTGTTTGAAGCGGGTAATTTTGGACGAAATGATACAAGAGATAAGTGATATGTGGAAATATGAAAACATGCCGCAAAAACTGGAAATGTTGGAAAAACAAAAAGAGAAATTTAATGATGTAAACACAGAAAATAAATTGTGGTAAGAACCATTTACTGCTGATTATATTATTCAAATAAATCTGTTTGAGGGCACTGTAGTACTTTACAAAAAGGTTTTCTCTACCTCTCAGCTCATCACAATTCTGTTGTGTTTTTGACTGTGTTTCAACACACTAATGGCAAATAGGAATAGATTCCCGGTTGTAATACCTACATCGACTTGTACTTTTAGCCTGTTTTTATTATATTGACCAAATGTTTTGACCTTCTGTGACCAAGTTTATTATTTATGTTACACAATTTTTTGTACTGTTGTTACTAGCAGCAACAGGAAATTTTGGTTTAATTTTATCACTACGTCATCTCGTTTCAGAGGCTAAGACACATTTTGGGTCTGTGAACCAGTTGAAGTAGTAGTATTTGTCACTACACAAAGTGGTGCCCTATGGAGATTACTATACAATTTTTACTGATGGTTCTAAAGGCACAAATGGTGTGGGAGCAGCCTTTTTTAATCAACAACGAAATGTATCTCTTAAACTAAGATTATGTCAGGAGTCCTGTATAATGAGAGCAGAGTTAACTGCAATAGTAAAAGCTCAATCCTTTGTTAACTCTGTAGATACTAGTAAAGTCGTTATTCTTACGGATTCTAAAAGTGCACTACAACATTTAGTCCGATGTGTTTTGGAATTTTGCGAATTGCGATTACTAGTTAATTTACTGTCCAAGAATATATGTATAACGCTGCAATGGTTTCCATCACACATCGGACTAGTAGGCAATGAAATAGTAGATAAATTAGCAAGAGAAGCTATTACAGAATCCATGGTACCATCATGTAAACCTCTTGCTGCAGAAATCATCCCATTTGTAAGAGAGCTAAATATGAATATGTGGAGTAAGATCTATGGTGAGATTTCTACGGTGAAAGGGTTTTGGTACAACACCGTTCAAGTGCATCCACTGCGAAAGCTCTGGTTTGTGGACAGCGCACTTTCTAGAAATGCATTGGTCTTGGCTTTTAGACTACATACTGGTCACTTCCCTTAAATAAGTTCTACCATCTTATAATAAGGGCAGAATCACCACTATGTAAATTTTGTAACAAATTTGAAGATATGCTACATTTAATGGAATGTGGCTATTATGTGGATCTGAGAAGCCAATTTCAATTAGGGGATATTTGGCAGGTTGGGGAGTTAAATGTCATGTTGGGCCAACCGTAGATGAAGAGGGCTAAAACTCTATACTCATATGTGAGGTCTTGTCTCACACAATGAGGCGACACAATATAGCAGAATAATATATAATCCACAGGGATTGACATCACAAAGCCGACATTGACAACCAAGTGTTACAGGCCTTATTAAAAACAAGATTATAAAAAAAAGTGGTGCCGACTTGGAATATTCTGCATAGCCTTTGGTAAAGTATTTTTTTGTATTACAGGAGGCCTCAGTTAGATGACGTAAAGGCTCAGCTCAGAGCCCACAATGTGGCAGATTTACAAAGGCAAAAGATTCTACTTGAAAGTCTTGCAAAGGAACATGAAGCAAGACTTAACAGACTAAAGAAAACTCTCACTGCCAAGCGGGGCTACCTTAAAGCTTTACAAATGGATGTTCAGAAATATCAAAAGAAAAATGAAGAATTTGTTTTACAAATTCATGCAAAAATTGAGAATCATAAAAATTTAACCAATGCTTTTATACCCACAAAATTAGATATTGAGAGTGTCAAATGGATTGATGCAGATTTGGAGATAATGAATAAGTAAATGTGAATGAATTATTTGAATAAATTTATATTTCAGAAAATTGTACACACCTGAGAAAATACAATCAAATTAATTTAAACTCAAAGACTCGATTCTGTTAATTACTAAGTGTAGATGAAAATAGAGAATTAACATTTTTAAGTGTAGATAAGTGACACTGACAGTTAAATACAAATCTAATCTTGCATATTAGTTACCATCTAATGTCTATAATAATAACAAAAGATTAGAAAATCGTCGAAATTTCATAGCAAGACGAAGAATAACAGCGAAAAAATTTACGTAAAGTTCATTTGTCACAAGCAAGATGTGAAAAAAAACTTACATATTGTTCATCAGTTGAAATTGTCACAAAAATAATTAAAAACATACATACTACAATGCTTTTAATTGTAAAACCTACACAAAGAAACGAAAATAAACCTCTTAGTTTAAATAGTAATAATATTTATTATTGGAAAATTATTTGACATGTTAACATAGCTATAAAATAAAATTGTACAATGGAAAACCTGCATAATATAATTTTATATTTAATAATAATTGCAATTGCACTATTGCTGCATGGACTACACTGCTTCTAACGTCATTTAAAATGATGACATCCATTAATGGACTTACTAATTTTAAATCGTGAAGAGAAAGCCTCAATAGGAGATCATGCCAATCTTCAACAATTTCGAAATATCTAGACACATAGGGTGTTTTAATACTGAGTGCGAAATAACATCAATTTCACTGGGATATCACTCCCTAAAATAAAAGTTTACACTTGCAATGGTGTATTACAATGAAATGAAAGTACACTAACAATAGTACAGATTACATGAAGGAGATATAGGTGAAATTATCTTAGGCCAACTTCACAAAAAATTTGACAAAATAAATAATACTTACCTCATTTTAATACAATAGAATGTGGTGGACGATTATAATTCAGTTTACGAAAGCGATCTTGACAGACTAATTCAACTTAAAATTTTCTTCTAACCAATTTACCGTCACTTATACCAACCTATACATACTTTACATTTATAGGCACATTAGTTACAGAATAAACAAAGCGAATGTGCTTTCGATCCACTACAACTTAATAAATAGTAATATGAAAATGTAACGACGCTTTGTGTCCAATGCCCGCATCTTTAAGATAGCTTGCCACCTCTTGAACTCTTCGAGTAAAAAAAACAATTTGACTACAACATCAACAGGTCACCATTAACATAACGGGGTACACTCCGATCTAAGGCTGCGCTATAACAGGGATCGAAAAAGCAATAGTCACGAGCCATCGCCGAATATAACGTGTCTTCTTATCTTCATGTCCACTATCTGTAGAACTAAATTCATAAATTAATATCACTCACATTAATAATAATAATAATAACCAAGAAGGCACAAGCAATTGATAAACAATTTTTAATCATTCATGACAGATATTCGGCTCTGCCTGATGACTTCTCTAAACGTAATTATAATACAATCAATATATAATTATTCATTTGTAGCATTCCTCTCACTGTGCAGCACACTGGATCCCAAACGTCAGTTATTTTTTTTTAGGTGGTGACCGTTGCGGTGTAGCAGGTCTCCCACTATTTATGCCGTTGTACTGATATTTAGCTTTTTTTTCTGACGGTTTTAGTATCTGTAATAAATAAATTAATCACTGTTTATGTTGCTGTACATTTAGCTTTTTTTCAGACGGTTTTAGTATCTGTAAATAAAATTAGTAATGTTATCCTCCAATAAAAAAAACAAAACAAAGAAATAAGAAAAGGATGACTGGTTCTTGCGTGTATGGGAAAATATTACCTGATGGAGATGAGGTGGATGATTAGTGATTGTTAAAAATGTTGGATGAAGTAAGCAAGAAGTATAAAGCAACTATCTACAATGAGGAGAAGAGTGACTTTTATTTTAGGTTGCCGAAAAGTAAATAATACAAAAAGCTTATTGCAATTTTAATACCCAAACCACAAAACACAAAAAAAAACTTCTCGCTCTGCAATCTGACGCAAGAAACAGTGACCCCATATGGAGCATATGTTACCTGGAAAGAACACATGAGTGTCTCGTCCACAGACATCATTCCTCCAGCATTATCGAACTCGCCGCAATAATTTGGCGCAGAGAAAAGTGTTACAAGCTGCCTCTTAGCAAAAAACTCGTATCCATCTTCTACCACCTATAATAACAAAGTAAAGTAACACAAATGAAGTATAATTATGACAAAAATAAATAAACCGCAATAAACCGTAAATTACCTGATGAGCTCGGCAAATCAAGTCCAAGTCATGTCTATTGAGGAATTTGCTGACAACATCTGGGCCAAATGTAAATGATACGCCACGATCATTCTCTCCCCAACCCTGAACATCTTTGTCTGGATCCGACCACAACAGATCACAGAGCAGACCTGTAATGAGTTCATAAGTTGTTGTGTTATCATTTCTTATTGGATTTTATATAACATGTTCCTAATAATTGCACTGTAGTGATATATTGGAAAAACATCGTGGGTAGTAAATGTTGTCGGTGATAATAGTATATGGCCATGACTCATACCAATCAAAGTTAGTACACACGTGATTAAATAGATGATTCAGTTACAGTGATTTTTTCAATATCTACCTGTGTCAGGGACGTCAGTGGGTCGCATTATCCGTCGGATTTGCTCCATGCCTTGCAAATCTGGCGAGAGACCTCCATGGCAGCAGAAAATCTTTTCATCAATGATAGCCGCAATTGGCAGGCAATTGAAGCAATCCGTAAAAGTCTTCCACAGCTTTATATTGTATCGGCGTTTGCACTCGTCGTAAAAACCTGTGTACAGCAATTCAATTAAAGGGAAGCCTTAAAAGATTGCCACTAATTAGAAGATATAAATACAATAGCTTCGCCAATTTGTCTTTATTAGTAGGTAAGGCCAAGTTCATTGTTTAAATAGGCAGAATATATTGCAGAGGTAGTCATTTACAATTTGCTGACATCAGTTTCATTAATCAATGTGAGTCAGTCGTAAAAAAATTGTAAATAATACTCATTGTTTATTGATTACTGATATGAACATAGAAATTTGCAATGTTAATTCGATTTTGAATATTAAGAGCACATTTTGACATAACATTCAAGTATACTTACCATAAATACGATTTATGCTAGCGCATTCATGATTTCCTCGGAGAAGAAAGAAGTTTTCAGGATACTTGATTTTGTAAGCAAGCAAAAGGCATATGGTCTCCAGGGATTGCTTCCCACGGTCTACATAGTCTCCAAGGAATAAATAATTAGCTTCAGGCGGGAACCCGCCGTATTCGAAGAGGCGCAGTAAATCGGTGTACTGACCATGTATATCACCTGAAATTGTAATTGGTTTATAATGATATGTCTTTTAAAATATTTGAGCTGGAGACAAAAGTGTATTGGTTGGGTTGGTAACAGTAATTGAATGAATGCCCAAGTTGTTTACTACTCAAGTTAACACACTTGTCATGTCCTTGTAACTCATAGCTACGTTTATATATTATGTATGCTCACATCTTAAAATACCAATTGAATTTTGGCTTCATTCCTATGAGCATTTTCAAGATAATGTAACATATTATTCAGTAAGTTTGTAATTAGTTGTTATTTCCTCTATTTATCACTCAAATAGCAAACAGCTCCATATTGAATATCCTACATATTTCTACAATAAGAACATATAGAAATAAAATAACAATTAACAGAAACAAGTAACATATGTTGAAATATTACAGAATATCAGTGAAGAGTTATCCATTCATATCTTTCTGCTGTACTGTCTATCTGATAACACAGATTTTCAGTTGCCATCAAAAACAGGTCAAATATTATAACATGCCAAATTGCTGTTAGATGTCATAACAATTTAAATGATATCTAATGATCTGGTACATTTATTTTTCTTTTGAAACATGTTTCATGGAATGTTTCGAATTTTTCGGAATTCAAAATGGAATGTTATTTACCCAAACGTCGATATTAGTTTACCACGTTGTCTCGCCTTATTTGGTTATTTTGTTAGAGATATACATAATGTAAGCGAGCATGTTTTTGTACCTGTGTTGAAGTAATGAAGGTAACTTTTTTGCTCTATTATATTAATTTTTTTTATTTAAGCTGGATCAAACTCCTTCACCGTGGATAAAGCTGGAACTGGTTGTGAGCGCAGTTTGTAATTAGTAAATAGGTATCTTTTCTGCATTTTGGTCAATAAACTAACAAAAAAAGATGGAATGAAACTAAGCTTACCACAAATTTTGAGTGGCGCCTCCAATTCTAGTAGTATAGGCTGTTGCAGGAATATCTCTCTGGACTTGGTGCAGAGGCCGCGGACCTCCGCCTCCGTCATCTGAACTGTTTTGCCAGGCCTGCATCCTCGAACTGCACAAGAACAAACCAAGGTTTAATATGTCTTGGTCCCATTAGGTTTATGGTCTCTTTTCCAGGCATGCATAATTTTGTCCTTCATGCGTTTTTGAAAGGTGTGGGGTGTCATACTACACCAACAAACACGTACCGCGACCAGAAACCGCGCTTAGGCGCGTCTACTAGACTACACACGTCTTTAACGTTATGATTTTGTAGGTATCTGACTGACAATGATATTTCTATATTGAGGCAACCAAGCCAACAAAGTAGTCAAGTCTAAGTGAATATATATCTTATTAATTGAGGTAATTAAGCTATAATCAGTATGGTTGCACTGGTTTTATTATACATTTTCTTGATAATTATCTTGGATCTGAATAGGCAGCATATAGTTAACTAAACTTAAAGGAATTACAATAATGTGTGTGTGGATAATACCACCCTCTGAAATTGTGTTATTTTGAAATTTAAGTTAATATATTATTATTTTTTATTATATATTAGAGTTTGAGCTTACTTGTCAGCAAACACCAGTACCATGTGCATGCTAAACATTTGTATGGGCAGGGTTATCATCAGGAAACTGGGCTGAATAAATGTTTTGTATGGATGTATTACTGATGCTGTCTGACAAGACTTACCATGCTTACTAGGTGGTAGTATGTTGTATGTAGAAAAATATTGTTTTAGTCTGTCATGTTCAAAATTGTTGTATGTAGGAACCAGGTTACAAATATTTTCTTACAGAAAGAAATTATGACATTACAATTAATTATATCATGTAAAATGAACAATAAAAAAAACAAACAATAACTGTACATGCTAATGTATGTAAAAATAGCACAAATACATAGAGACACACACATAGAATGTAGCTTTTATAATATTAATTATAAATAATATTATTATACTGTGAGACAATCACACTAATACAGTATTATAAAGTTTAAACATTTTGTGAGAAAATTGTTGTATTAATTTCTTAGAGGTTGGGCCTTTTCTTGGAGGTAAGTCCTTCATGCTGGAATAAAGGTCCAAATGTTTGAATAATTGGTAATTGCACCCAATAATTTCAGTAAAAAAATACACAAAAATACAGGAAAAGAAGACAGGTACAGTCAACAGCATATCAATCTATACATTTTTGTTTGAATATCGCCTCCAGTCCAACAGAACAAGATCTGTAGCTTGGTGTGCTGCCGTCTGTACATTAAAGCCATTAAGGGTAGAAATTTGTCATTGCTTTGAAGTATTGGCTGCTCAGCCATGGGAAAATTCCTACACATATGGTTCAAAACATAACATTCTTTACTATAGTAAGAAAACATGGGATAGAATTTAAAAACATCATTATTAGTAATAATTATTTGGTATTGGGTAATCAAGGATGTCAAATGATTTTCCAAGACAGTCAATTTTGTAATGTGACAATGCTTTTCATGGAGTTGAAAAATGATGAGCAAAGTAAAATGAACAGTCTAGCTGAATACTTGAGCAAAAGTTTAGAGGAAACCATACATTCGCCAGAAAAGATGTCTTTCAATTTCCCTTTTCTCCTTGCTGTTTCCTGCTGCAGCCTGTACACTGATGCAACCCATCAAAAAGCAGCACAATAAAGTGAAATAAACATTTTTTTAAATTAAATAAAGTAATGCGAACAAAGCGTAACACTAAGCTCGCTGAGTACATCATGCCAATCTGACATCATTCTCGGTGTGCGAGAACATTGTTCGCCTGCCCGTTCTAACCACTACAGTGTATATATAACGAGAGTACTCTTCTACAAATCTCTCGCATACCGAGCATCAAAAGTAGAATCAGATAAGAATTGAGGATAATCGATTTATTTATGAGTTTGACGTTTCTATTTTATACCTACACAGACGAGTGATAATTACGCAACTAGAAACCTAATGAGCGTGAGATCATTTTTTACTATCATTCATCAAGGTTTCCTACACTATATTTGCACACAAATATAAGTAACAATTAAATCCTTACCTTCTAAAAGCCTGTGAATTAGACTGTCAACATTGAGTTCGTCAGCCATATTTACTACCCGAAATAATTTACGTCAAAAACTTCATGGATCTTGACCACACTTAGCTCCAAGCTTGTTTTTGGTGTTCTCGTTAAGTTTCTTGATTGATGAGCGACGAAAGAAACCAACTATTGCTGAACTTCACACACAAAACCACACACACAATAATATTGAAAGTGACGCTTTTTGATGATGAGCCGAGTTGATTTGACGAGTTTTTCTCCTCTTTGCGACCAACAAGCAAGCAAAGCACGGACAGTAAAGTACGCACAGCGAAAATTCTATCTTCTATCTAGCTTGTGCACATATAATGCGTATCGTGTTATCCTGCTGTCTAACACATTTCTATTAGCACTTTATTACGAATAGAACACACTTTACCAAACACGACTGACTTGATCAACGGCGAACTGCTATTCGTCAGAGCATAGACAAATATTTGTTTCTCTTTCGTCAGTATATACTTCATTCATTGTTGCTCAACACGAACCATAAACAAATCCCATAAACAAGGATTTTTTTTCTTAATTCCTGGTTCGAGCAAAATGTCGCTGAATTTGATTGTCAAGCTATTTTCTCATCGTAATGTGGCGTTCTGGCGCATAGTATGTATGAAACACAGAGGTTTGGCGTGTGCGTTCTATTTTATTTTAGACAAGACTTGACGGCTATTTGAAAAACCTTCATGGCTCTCTGTTCGACTTCCGCGTATTATTGCCTCGGTTTTTCGTAAACAACACGAACAAAACATCGCGAAAATTCAATGCAGCGGGTGGAAAATCTCTGTTGTGACGCGTGAAAAACGGAGGGATCGTGTGAGGGGCGTATAAGAGCATACATCGAGTGGGCAGGATGGAGGAGAAGGCGGAGAGCGAGCAAAGCTTCAGCGGGGAGAGCAGCAGCTCGTCGGGCAGCTCCAGCGGCAGCACCGAGGGCGAGGATGAGGCTATGGAGATGGTGCGTGTCCTCGGCCACACCATCGAACTTCCGCAAGAGCTCTGCGAGGATTACGGCGTATTCAGGGAATTCTTCTCCATGAGAACTTGGGAGGAGATAGAAGACGACCATAAGGACAGTCTCAAGCAGCTCTTGCCGAAATTCCCTGAAAATGATGAGGAGGAGAAGGAAAAAACTATCAAAATGTTATTTAATTGTGAACCTTTTAACTTTACATCTCCTTTAGATGATTTCTTTAATAATTTGAGGCAAGGAAACTTTAGACCAGACATAGCAAAGATGAGAAAGTTCCTTAAGAAAGCTAGAGCAAAGCAGCAGAGGCATAGGGTGAGTGTTACAGAGTTCTAAATTCATAAACATTAATTATACATCATATTTATATAAAGCCATCATATTAATATCAGATTTATATAAAGCACATACTTATTTTTGCTTACAGATTAAGTCATACTATGCAAAGTTATTGCCAGAACTGTTGATATCAAGGGAGCGCTTATTAGCAGCTGCCAAAGCCTGCCCTCCAGGACCCATACCTCGCATACCACTGCTGCCTCCAAAGCCTACTGCTAAGAGCAAATACAAGCCATTGTATCTTAGAGTAAAACAGAGGTATTTTGAGGAGCTGTCAGCAATCAGAAGTGAGGTGGGAGGAGAGGAATCTGAGGATGAAAACTACCCTGAAGGTCCTCCTGAGGTTACTAATAAGAGAAAAAAACAGTTAACTGCTGGCCAGGTAATTTTGTTCATCTTGAACAAAGTATGTTTTTTATCTAAGCTAACAAGTTGATTAGTAGCTGTAGTGTTCACTATATCATGAAAAGTTAATTCATGTAGTTGGTCTTTGTGTTCCTAAACAAACAATCTGATAAGATACTAAAATTGTAAACACACAGAGCTTTTCTAGATCAATAATAGTATTCAACACAGTGAAAGACAAGCTGATCATATTGCATGGAAGTGTAAAAATACTGTTTGTTATTTCTCCTTTTATAAATATTTATAATCTTAATTGCCTACTGCTGGAAGAAAAAGTTCAAAATTATGTTGGTTCTGAAAGCTTTTTGAATTATTGTATTATGTTTTTTGTGTATTGTGCCATCCGAAGTCAAATTATGATTACCAGGTGCCTCAAATAAAGCAACAAATTATATTTATGTACCTAAAATTAAATTAATTTTTTCAGAGTACGGACGGTAATGTGTCTGGGACACTAGGTGGGTCTGAAGCATCCCAACCTAACTCTCTGGATTGTTTGAAAAATGTCTTGGCTGCTCACAGAGCTAGGAGACAATACAGAGAGGTAATTCCACTATCTAAGTTACATTGAGTTCTTCTTACCAGTTCCTTTGCCATATTCCTTTTATTTTTAAATTATCAGTGTGACTTTTTTATGAACTAAAGGATATGTGAGCTAGTATTAAATTATTATATATTGTGCATTTCTTAACATATTTTTTTGCAAAAGATATACTCCGAATTTGTTTTACTATTGCAGAATCACCCTGAATTAAACACGACAGGAATAACCTTAGAAGATATAAAACAAAGGGTAACAGTAGTTAATGGAGCTAAAAAACTTATGTTTGGTGGCCAGAAGATAGATACACCTATACAGAGGATGAAAAGAGGTCCAAAAAAAGAGAAACATATTAAATCTGATGGCAAAAGCATTAGAAAAAAGGATGATATACATGACAGTATTGAGAATAAGCCTCTTTTGCCAAACATTAAAATAAAATGTGAACAAGAAGAATCAGATTCGGAAAGCTCTTCATTTGTGGACCCTGTAGCCAGCCCTAGGCAATCTAAGAAGCTGTTTGATCACATGGATATTAAACAGGAAGTTGTTGATATTAAATATCCTAATATGACTAAGTTAGTGTTAATTTTGTTCATTTTCTAAATTGGACACTGTTCCAATTATGAATTTCTTTAATGTATTTGCATAGTCGAAAAATATTTACTGTCAATTTATGTTTTGTTATATCTGATGCAATTAAGTATATAACCAGAAATAGAGACAAAAGGTCATTTAATTTGTTTGAAAACTATTCTGCCATATCATTACTGTGATAACTGCGCTCCGATTGGCTAGCCCGAGTTCGAAACAATTGATGGGTGTCGTCAATGGGCGTCGTCAACTGTTTCACTTCAAATCGACCAGTTCACTTGAGCTTTGCTATAATGGACGAAAATTGCAAAATTACATATTTAATATTTAATTACCGATGAAATGTGATTCCATTTGTTTTGTAATTAGATGTTTTGCTGTTTTTCCCACACCACCGAATAGAACAGCACGGCATTGTTAGAGATATTATCTTTATTACAATAAATACAAAATATTATTTGGAATATATGGAGACGTACGCACAGGTCAGTAGTTGGCCTGTCTATATTTCAGTGCAAACGGGAGTTGATATTTATAAGAGCTGTATCGCTAATGTGTTACCAGGAATATATGGCCCTTATTTCGTCTCAATTTCAGGTTATATACTCAATGATCTGATGTTATGATAGAACTAAAATGTGACGAATTTTCTTTTTTCTGTTTTAGTATGAACTGCAATGATGCTAACTTAGAAAGTATTATAAAACAAGAACCTCCAGACCCGTCTATGCTGATGCAAGGATCCAAGATCATGCAGCATGTGCCTATCAAGTTGGAAGACCTGGATGGAATTGGTAATTTATGAAACATTTTATAAGACCTATTTATGTAACTACAATTAGTGTTAATTTTGGTGTATTTATACTATGAATTCAGAACATGAAAACAAATAAATAAATGCCAAGTTAAGCATGCTTAATATGTAAAACAGATGTTTTACTAAGTAAATGTGAAAATATTCGCCTGAGGGCCGATATACTTAGTAGTTCCAAACATACATGTCGAAAAGTCACTAAGATATCATATAAATAAAACACCATCGCAAGATTTGTTATGTTATATATCTTCTCATGCTTGTTCTTAACAACTTAAATAGCTGCTTTAATTTTTGAAAAAAAATTAATTTTCAGACATGATGGCTTTACCTGTAGAAATAGCGGACGATTCAGGCGAGGTTGTGGTAAACACGTCAAACGAGCTGGAAGACGCTATAGACCCGGACGAATCATTAACAGAAACTACCCATGCAAATTTCTTGTCTCTGGTGCGAGCGCTGTTCCCTGCGCGTGCGGCGCACAGGGCGTCGAAACAGCAGCTTCATGCGAGGTGCGCCGCGGTCATGAGGTCGCCTATTGCACCGCTTAACACGTGGTATAGCTGTGAGTGATATTATTTTACAACTTTATATAGTTTCATGTCTGTTTAAATAACTTTTTTTTATAATATCAAGTGTGAAATGGTCCTTGCATTCAACTGCACTATTTTTTTTTATTATAATAAGTGATGAGACAAACAAGTCGTGCGTGTAATGGTAAACGACACGCCTGTCTATAACAGTTGCAGTGCCACTCGGAGCTTTAAATCTGAGGGGCATTGCCCTGAGACTTAATTTGACAAGTCCCATGTGCCTGTAATTTCACCAGCACCCTTACCTTTCAAAACCGGAACGCAGCAATGGTTACATTACTGCTCGGCTGCAGAAATAGGTGATATGGTAGTACTTCCCTGGACGACCTCTTTCTCAAGGAGCTCTGCTGCTACTAAAACTATGTATGTGGTGAGTAAGCTTTAATGCTTTCTATTTCAGTTACTTCAAAACATTTATCATATGTCATAATTTTTCCAGTGGCAGATGATTGGTGTGCAGAACTAGACAGCGCTCTGGCTTTCTTAGCAGGCGAGCGAGGGCCACACCCGGACGACTACGTGCCATATTTACAGTTTATGCCAGAAACACAGGTTGGTAATTAATGTGAATTTTTTTTAAACCGGATATATTTCAAATGTTGATAAAAGAAGTAAACAGCGCGAATTGCTTTTAATGTTATTTAGCCTCAGAACTTACAATTGGTTAGTGTCCGAACCAGTAACAAAGAGGTCTGCACAATTTCTGTAGTTTTGTAAAGTGAGTGACTCTTAAAATGTAAACTATTATCAAATAAAGCAAACATAATATTTAAAAAACATAATATTTCTTCTGTAGCAGTTAAGAAGTAATATAAAAAAAAAAATCCGCCTGTAGGGGATTTCCACAATATTAAATACTTGTATATAGGCTGCAACATAAAGATATTTTGGTATATAAAAATGATCATGGCACTGAACAGCAAATATGTTAATGTGTATAAATATACCTGTGCTTGTGACAGATGTACCAGTGGATCGGCGCGGGGCGTGATTGCGACGCACTGTTAGGGCGACTATGTGAACGTTGGCTGCGTGCCGTCTCTCCGCCACCGCCCGCCACAGAGCCACCACCGCCCAAGTCAGTTCACTACAACACAGTAATACTTCGTAGCAAATTGTGTGCACCGTCCTAAGTGGATACTGCGAGTGCACTTCAATCAAACGAAATGTCTTGCTACTGTATATATGTATATTAACTAAACAAGCTGAATGGTATAGACAAACATCTATGAGCATACATTAGCTTATGTATGTGGTCGTGGGTTTGTAAGCTTCCCATTAAATAAGTGACTTTTAAAATTGCACTGGTTCAAAAACTCGTTAATTTCTATATGAAAGGTTCAAACTCAATGCAATTTAGGAAATGAGACATTTTTTTTCGGATTTAAGTCAGTGAGCCGTGACCATGGGACCAGTAAAGGGCTAGAAATGTTGGTTTTTTTTGAAAAAACAAATATACGTTATTTAGATCAGAAAAAAATAGTTTCATTTCCTATGTTTAACAATTGCGAAAACTTAAGAACTTTCTGCATTTTTTATACATTCGAACGCTCTATAGATTTGGCAAAACCATAGACAACATTAAGAATTACCTATGTTATAAATTACACCCAATTATATTATTTGAATGAATGAATAAAATTATTTCTATTGTATTCTTTATTTCACATAAAATCATAGTGGCAACACAAAATAGTAACTTACGTACTATAACACCAATGCTTAAGTATAAAAATAGTAAGATAATGTGCAACAAGTGGCCTTATTGCTAAGTAGTAATTTCTTCTAACAACCAGATGATAAAAATTTGGGATATGCAAAAGGAGTGCAACCAAATATATTCATAAATACATTACATATTAAGAACTAATAAAAACATTACAATATATTATTTGAATGAACATCAAACTACTAAATACTTAACAGGCCTGCCGTGTGGACCGGGTCTCGTAACTTATACAGGTCCTTTAGATTTAGTTCAGTGTGTTCAATAGAGGCCATTGTTCTATAGATATCCGACGTCATGGGTGATGCGTCCGCCAACGAGCGCCGAAATAGCAGAGTTTCGCATTCAAGAAAGAAAGAGATTTGCTTCAGCTGCCAAACCCTTTACATATGTACAGCACGGGTGAGTTTTCGCTGTTTTTGGTTACTTAATTATAACGCATAATAATAACGCACACACTCAACATAGCCCCGCACTAGGGAAACCCTGTGTCACGGGTGCCATGGACACACATAGACAACCACAAATTACACCCAAACTCACGAGAGAAATAAATGTAGGCCATACAAATATTTTCTCCCGGCCCAGGAATCGAACCTGGGACCTCTGCGTGGCAGTCCGGCATGGTAGCCGTTCGGCCACAGAGGCAGTTAATAAATAAATAATAATAAATTGTAGAACTTTCAAAGTTATTTAACAGTGACTGTAGATTCGATTTATTAGGATGCCTTGAATTTGTCTACTTGCAATTGTATTCGATTTAAGAAATAAAAATTGCATCCTAACCTCACCAGATTTATCATGAATATTAAATCTTAAATTTGCATTTGAATATTTGCGTACTTTTAGTGTGTTCAATCTCAATGTATTACATGTAAATTTATTTATGATAAAAGATGTTCTGCATAACAATAAAGTACAATACACAGCACAATTAGGAAATTCCCTGTACTCTGATTTTATTAACTCTAGGGTATTAGAATACGTATAGTAGTAGAGCTTATGAAATAGGTCGTCCAGGGAAGTATTGCCAACTTACCTATTTCTGCCGCCAAGCAGTAATGTGAGCATTACTGCGTTCCGGTTTTGAAGATTAGGGGTGCTGGTGAAATTACAGGCATTTGAGACTTGTCAACATGTATATCTCGGGTCACGGTGCCGCTCCGGTATTTGCAGTTCAAAGCTCTAAGTGGCACTGCAACTGTTATTAACAGGCGTGTCGCTTACCACCAGGCCCACGCCTTGTTCGTCCCGTGACTTGGATTATAAAAAAATTCCTCACCAGAACGAATTGAGAAAAATTTGTTTTTTAATTAGGCCTGCCGGACATCGAACTCTGAACCTCATCTAAACGTCCACAGTGCTAACTGCTGGACTACTTAACTTGTCGATTAACTACTTAACTGGTCGACTAAATGAATGTACTGGTAATTTTAAATAATTATTATAATAACAGTTGTGTGTCGAAAGAGTATTCTGCTGAAAGTTAAGAGTAGTGTTTTGTAAATGGAATGAATGATTGAAATATTTAGGACATTAAACTATTTTTCCGGATTTAAATGGCGTATATTTGTTTTTTCCAAAACAACGTTTCGGGCCCAGGTCCCATAGTCACGGTTGACTGAGGAGGTACAGTCATCAACCAGTTATGTATAATATTAATGCAAGACACCCTATTTTATCACTATATATAAAACCTAAGAACTAGATTGAAATATTCTTTATTGCACATTAAAATTCCAATGACAACATAGAACAGTAATGTAAGTATCACAGAGTAAGCCAATGTACAACAGGCGGCTTTATTGCTAATTAGCAATTTCATCCAGCCATTGAGCTACTATTCAACTGCCATTGGAACTAGAGTTTAGCGGAATACAAATGGTATCATAATTGCAATGTAATATCAGTGGAGTACCAATGGAATTACAATGAGCAGTGGTATAAGAAAATGATCGGAACTGGTTCCGCCAGATACCGGTCAGTGGTGGGCCCCGTTCCCCGCTGCGGCGCGGGCGGCGCGGCGCTGGGCGGCGCGGGCGCACTGGTCGCCGACCGCCCGAGGCACGCCAGCTACCTCGCGCTCGTCAGAGACGCTGTCGCCAGGCTGCCCAACGGGGAGGGATCTAGGCATGATGTGGTCATGCTACTCAAGTAATTTTATTATACAAACGATAGACACAATTGTCCCACTTAAGAGTACATACTACGCACGTAACATACATAATAAGGTACGCAGAGGATGCGGACCTCCTTGTTGCTACGGTCCTGACATACCTCCTCTCATGTAACTATTAACATTAATTCAGGTTTTAATTTTTTTAAATGCGGTAGCACCTGAACAGCATCAATGCCCCCAATTGCTTCCGAGGCCCCTACCGCCCTAGGACTCTTCAGCGCCCATTGGGGGGGGGGCGGTAGGGACCACTTTGGGAAACTATGTCGTAGATGATAACAAACTCTTTTCGTATTAGTCGCAAAGTGTAAAAGCGACAGCTCTTCTCCTTGTATCGTGTCATATAACATATGTTTGGTGCATAGTTTCTTAACAATTTATTACGAGAAGTTTTATCATCAGCGAAATATGTTTAAAATTAAACAATATCGTTCTATGTTACGTTTACTAGGATGTCACAATGGATAACGCCTACTTCAGACCAATCGTTATTGAGCGCTGTGTCGACTGCGCTGGACAGATTGCATTCGGCAAAACGCGATCCCATCGTCAAATACGACCAGAGATCAGCTGTTTGGACATATCTCCATAGGCACAGGTAAGTTTATTATGTCGCATTTTCTACTACCATCGGCTAAATCGTGGATTTTGTATTATGTGGGTTTATCAAAAATACACACTCAATTTTATGGGTTTACATCAATGTTACATACCTACCTTTTTGGTACCAAAAACACAGGCGCACACGCCGTAGCGATTTCTTGTAGTGTACACTCACAATGTTTCTGTTTACTTGAAGGAGCGAAGAAGACTGGATAAAGGCAAGCGGCGGTCGCAGCCGTGGCGGTAAGACGGCAGCCGTTGCCGCGCCTCTGCCGGCTGCGGCGTCGCCGGCGCCTGCGGCTGCGCTGCCCCCGCCCCCCGCACCTGTCAGGCTGTCACCGCTCACGTCGCCTCACGCCGTGAGTAATGTCGTACACACATCGAACCTAATAAAAACTTGATTAGCGTACTTGATTACATATTCTTTTTTCTTTATGTATTTCATGATCCTTAGATTTAAGTACTTCGACGAAATGTTACAGATAATAAACATAGAAAGTAATATAATTTTTTTTTTAAATTTGCTCACCTTTTTTCTGTAGTATGTTTTTGGTGCAATAAATAATATAATGTGAAAACATAATATACTGTTATACATGACATAGAACATGAAATTATAAATCGTCTAATGTAAATAACTTATCCATGAATAATGTAAGTTATGCCCGTTTGGGTTGAAGAGCATGATGTGTAGATGGGCATCCATAGGCGTGTTTGCCAGGCTACTTCTAGTATTTCAAGTATAATAGGTACTATATTTGAAATTCGTGTCTACAGATGGAAATGGATGTAGCCAGCATAGAAGAGATAGTTGACAACGGATCCGACACTGATGTCGACGTCGATGACAGTAGTTCCCCGACGGCTGTGCCGCACTTATCCTCCGCACAGCTTCTGATGCAAGCGACGCAAGCGCAGGGCAAGCAACCTTCACTACAACACAGCAGGCCTAAAGGAAAACTCGTCGCAGTCACACCTCCTAAATCCAAAACTACTAAACAATCGATCCAAACCAAACCGACACAGAAACAAGCGAATCTTATGGCTCAAGCGGCCAAGCAGGCCAATCTTGTCACTCAAGTGATGAAACAAAACGCAGTTCAAACTGTTAAGCAGGTTCCAGCTAAATCGGCGCCTATTCCTCAGCCGAAACCGACAACGTCGGGAGTGCAACAAACGAAAGCGAACACCCCACCACCGAAACAAACTCTAATAAGTCAAGCCGCGAAACAGGCAGCGTTGATGGCTCAGTCCGCTAAACAAGCTAGCGTCATAGCGCAGTTGACGAAACAAACACTACCAAAAGCTAATATGATTCAAACAAAGCAGGTGAATGTGGTAAAACAGCCTAGCCAATCTCCGAAACAACTTACCCAGACCACAGCTGTTAAACCGACCCTTACCCAGCCAGTTAATCAGCCTCCAGTTGTAAAACAAACTACGCCTCAGCCAGCACCGAAGCAGGAACCGCCGAAGGTTGCTCAAATACAAAAACCTTTGCCGACAACTGTTCCAACGCCCACCAAATCGCCCCTCATAAAACAGAGGCCTTTACAAAAGCAGCCTGAAACGTCACAAGTTTCGGTAGGTTTCTATTAAGTAAAGTTTAACTTTTGGTATGAATTTTAGTGTGATATTTAACTGACTAACATTGTTTAGGTACCAATGCCTAACATACTGAGTCAACAAACCGTCCAACCGGCAGCAATGCAACCTGCTGCAGTTATCGCCGCTCAAAACCAGGTTAAGGTAGGAAATAAAAAAATGTTAAGGTAGGATAAACGTATTGCAAATGCACATCTACACCCTTTCATTCCTATTCAAAAATCCTTTCATTCACTAACCTTTCATTTTATTAACTTTACAGGTATTCCTCAGAAAGGAACAAATTTTACTGATAATTTTGAATAGGACATGCTCTTGTCTATGTGTAATTTGATGTTGTATATAACGTGCTTCTGCTTTGTACTTATTAAACTGTGCTTACGAACAATATAACTTATAAAAGCCATCTGTGTGACATTTACTAGAACAAACTTCAGCAGATAATCGGGAATAATTAATGACATTTACCGCATTTGGAAGATTTATCCTAATTGTTTTATACATAGGCAATATTTTGTGTACAGGTGGCGCAAGGTCCTCGATCACTATTGATTAGACCTCCTGTAGCACAGGTCACTGTCGCTGCGGCATCAACCCCTACTCCACAGGTTAGTTTACATTAAATGCATCCGCGATTTTATGGACTAAAACGATAAAAACTGACAGGTCAATGTAAGTTGATTGATGCCCGTGTTAGACCACTCGATGAAAACTAATTATTCTTATTTAAACGGTTCACATTGAAAAAAAAGCAAAACCATTCGAATGAATCGGACAACACTAAAATGGCTAAACGGGTTCACTAATAGCGCCTAACAAAGTTCAGCATTATGTCACACCCTATTTTCAGAACGCATTCTGGAACTTCAAAAATTAAAACAGAATTAATTTGTACATGTAACGTTGAACAACGTCAGACTGATTTTCAAGTGCAACTGTTAAGGAGACGAGAATTCTAGCCGTCATATTTACACCAAACATTTCCATTAATAGCTATCGCGAGATCGTGATTTATGTCAACAGCCATCGCGAGCTCGCGCTGAGGTTGTTATAGTAAAATAAAATAATATAGTAAATTACGTGGTCAATACATTTTAAAAATCCAACTGCAGGGCAAGTTGCAATTATTTGCAGAAAAGTAATATTTTGTTTTAAATCTTAAATCACACGTTTCCCACAATCTCGCAATTGATATTAACACGTGTTTTCCTTGCAGAGTTTGCTACGTACACAACGTGTACGTAGCAATACGGGTCAATATTACATTAACAAATATTTCAATTCTCGTGTCGCACAAGATGCGTTAAGAGACAATTTGCCATATATAAATTTCAACTCCCGACTCGTTTCGTTAGTGAAAAAGCACTTTTAGATTTAGTGTGACTGCCAGTAAGCTGTATAATATCGAGGTAATTCGAAAAGGTTTAAGCACTAATGACTGGTTCTCAGACGACGGCAGTCGGGCCGCGGCGCGGCGTAGTGCGAGTGTTAAGTCCCGCGGCACCCTCTGCGGGCAAGTCACTAATCTCGCCTCGAGCACTTATGCAACAAAACATGCCCACCGCCAAAAAGCGCACTATGATTGTGGATACGCCCACTGTCACTACTGTAGCACAGGTATTTTTCAAACTCGTTTCATTTTCATTTTGGAAATTCATAAGGTTATTTAAACTTTTATTGTTCCATACTCATTGTTTTGTGAATGAACGCTCTTGTACAGAACGCCGGTAGTACAACTACTGTAGTAAGCAGCTTGCCGACGTCAGTGACATCATCAGTAGCCACGCGTACAGTGCAGCTTGCGGGCGGTAGAACCGTCCAGTTGGCCGCCAACCAAACTGTCCACCTGCCTGGCGGACAAGCCGTGCAACTGTCATCTGGACATACGCTACAACTATCATCGCTGCAACTCCCGACGCATAGTGTCAGATTACCTAGTGGCCAGACTGTTCAATTAGCCTCGTCTCAAGCCATACGTGCCGTGTCAAATGCAACAGTGAAAACATCCAGTCCCCGCACGCAACCCTCCTCTCCCACAGTCAAAGCGGTTCAATCTGGTTCCACAGTACAAATCCCAATATCAACAGTCCAACTCGCCGGTCAAACGGTACAAATCGCCGGGCAAACCGTACAACTTGCTGGTCAAAGTGTACAATTGACAGGTCACACGGTGAAATTACCTAGTGGTCAGACAGTTCAAGTGGCGAGTCAAAACATGCTATCGTCGCAAAGTGTGCAATTGCCAAGTGGGCAGACTGTTCAATTAACTAGTGGGAATGTGCAGACGGTTCAGTTGGGACAGAACGTGCAGGTGCCCAACGTGCAGTTGTCTGGCCAGACGGTACAGTTAGCGGGTGGGCAGACAGTGCAATTGCCAAGTGGGCAGACTTTGCAACTCGCAAGTGGACAAACTGTTCAACTATCGAGCGGACAGACGCTGCAGTTGGCTGGCGGACAGGCTGTGCAGCTTGCCAACCAGCAGGCAAAGGCTGTCCCCCAGACCATGCGGGCGCAATCATCGACAGAGAAGGCCGCGCAACCCCTGGTTGCCAAACTGCTCACTAATGCACAGGTACATGTAAACATATTGCATATATCTTACACGTACAAAGGTTGTACGTTCTAGTTTTTTTTCGCGTTATTTTAAACCGAAAGATCATTATTATGAATATTTTATAATATACGTAGTTAGTAGTTTACTGCCTCCATGGCCGAACGGTTACCATGCCGGACTGCCACGCAGAGGTCCCAGGTTCGATTCCCGGGCCGGTAGAAATATTTGTATGACCTACATTTATTTCTCTCGTGAGTTTGGGTCTTATTTGTGGTTGTCTATGTGTGTGTCCATGGCACCCGCGACACAGGGTTTCCCTAGTGCGGGGCTATGTTGAGTGTGTGCATTATTATTATTATTATTATTATTATAGTAGTCCTTCCAGCAACTATGTATGATAATTTTATGTATTCAAACCTGACTGTGGCAAGCAAGCCTATAAATTTGCAGTCAAAATAACGGCATATCTAATTGTTAGATGGTACTGTAATTTTAATGATAATAATATGTGTCAGATAACCACACCAATTGCCTGGTCGCAAACTAGGAAATTCCCTGTACTGTGCGTACCAGAGCATCGAAATTATGGGGCACTTCCCAGAACATCCAGACCAGAACCAATTTAGAAAAGGTCAGTTGCAAAACCGATTATAACGTGAATAGAACCCGGGATCTTCACATCCAGCGCCCACAATGTAAACCGTTAGGTCACTAAGGTCGTCAATATTGTTGCGCTATTTAAAAGTTCAAACTTAATCACGTAGCTTCATGCTTCTAGTTTAGAATTTTAGGTGGATAATTTGTTAGTAACGCTGATTGATGTGGCAGGGTCAGATGATTTCGTTGGAGGGTTCGACCGCAGCGGTGCGGCAGGTGGCAGGCGTACGTGTGGTGGCCCCTGCAGCTTCACGCGCCTCGAGACCGCTGTTGCTCGCCGCCGGCAAGCCGCTACACAACATCATACTGCAGGCGAGTGTGTCACGCTTTCATCAAATCACAATAAATTACTTCTCAAATATGATCGAAAATAACTGCATTACTGTCAAAAAAAAGAAACCACACAGTTTGTTATTTATGGAGTTTGCATGTGTTTATTTTTTATAATATCAAGTGACAGTACGAACAAGTCGTGCGCCTGATGGTAAGCTACACACATAACAGTTACAGTGCAACTCAGAGCTTTAAATCGCAAAGATCTGAGGGGCATTGCCACTGCGCCCGTCACCCTGAGACTTAAGTTGACAAGGCCCATGTGCCTGTAATTTCACCTGCACCCTTACCCTTCAAAACCGGAACACAGTAATGCTGACATTACTGTTTAGCGGCAGAAATAGGTAATGTGGCAGTACTACCCTTGACAAACTCTTTCACAAGGAGCTCTGCTGCTACTATCCGCGTAGTGTCCGCTGCTCTAAACTTTTAAATATATAAGAGCTATGTACATAGCGCTTTGTAACGTAGTCTGTTTACTAAAGAAAAACCGTCATACAGCATTCTATTATTTTGCATTTATTTGTGGTGCACGAATATAAATGCACCACATATTTTAAAAAAGGCGGTAAAATCTATGAAAATTCCTTTTTGTTATTATCCGGCAATCTTTCACTTTCCTGCCTCTACAATAAAGTAATAAAATTGCGTAGAAGGGGAACCTGCCACACACTATTCGATTCAGGGCACTATAAAGATTAATAAGTTTGCATTGTGTTTCAGCAAAGTGACGGCAGTGCTATCAGGGTTACCTCCAGTGGAGGTGCATCTACTTCTCAAACTATAGTTCTAAGTAACATAGGTAAGATAAGGAAAAATATTTTTAATTTCCTTGTGTGAAAAACAAGTTCATAGAAATCATTTTCGTCACACCCAGCGAAGTTACAAAATGTCAGAATTATTTCTCATAAATTGCACCTCAAGTCTATAGGATCATTGACCTCAAGTCATACACGTAGCGTTCCAATATGCAATTTAAAAGTAACAAGACTAATAATACCTGTGGTTCAGTAAACGTATGTAATAAATTATTACATACGTTTATTATTAATAATACATATTCTATTACTAAAATAAACGAAATGTATTTATTACAGGAGGCCAAGCAGTGACCACGACAAGTTCAGCACCGGTATTAAAACTGCAACAGGTACAAATTTATAATAACTTAATTCAATATTTAAAAAAAATGCACACTAACGGACAGACAGTGCATATTCACAAAGTTACGTGTGAATAAAATATAAACACTAAGTTATTTTTGATCTCTGGTAAGGGACACCACATTGAACCAAATTGTTTACCTTTAATATTTTTGTTTCGTATAATCTATGTTGATCAAAATATATTTACGTAAATTAATGTTATAGCAGAGATGTGCCAATTTATTATTCTACTACGAATACGGAATTTGTATTAATTAACACATTGCTCGTTACATTTTATAGGTGAATCCGTTACAACAAGTAAAACTCGCGCAGGGCATTAAGTTACAACAGGTGAATTTTATTATTGCACACCAACGCATGCTCGAACGTCACTAAAGCTACTTTGACGCTACACTAAGATAATTGAAATTATATGCATGAAGGTTTTATTACAGAAAAACTACATGAAACTTCACTTAGTCAGCAGAGAATGTGTTTTTCGGTATATAGTTGTATGTACATATCTTGATTTTATTATTGCAATGAGGAATAAACAGCGTGTCGTGTTCTTAATTAGGAACGCGTAGTAACTGTAGGTAAAGCTTGACACTCAATAAAGCCAACTCACATCAAAAGTTTTCTCGGAACTATTGGGGCAGGTTACATAGAGAGGTAATAATAATAATAGTAAATCCTTTAATTATATGAGACCTGTAAAGGACCGGAAACGTCGATTTGTTTGTTACAACAAATATGCGCTATTTAAATCCGATAAAATAGTATTTCCTATATGTAAGAATCGCGAAAATCTAAGGGCGCGTTCCCATTTATCGTTGAACGACTGTCGCGTCTAGCCTGTTCCCATATCACGACTATCTGTCGTGACTGTGTCGTGGACGTTTATTTTATCGTCGAACGACTGTCGTGTCTA